TGATGATGATGGGAGGGCTCTAGCGGGAGAGGGCCTACCCCATGTGCAGGTGCCCTCCGGCTCACCCCAAGCATCTATTTTGCTCTCGTTCACGCCAGGTCAAATGCAGCGTCTCGAATTTACCGGCTGGAGATGGTACGTTAGAATCATTCGGCTTCTTCACATTGGCTGTCTTCCCTAGTGTTGCGCCCATAGGCTTTAACAGGTCAGTTCGTCTAAGCAGCACTAGCCTTATCATCGCTGTATTAGATTTATGGAGCTCATCTCGACTCACTTCTACGATGATACTCGTGTTTTCCGAGTAGAGCCCGGCTTTGTTGTGCAGTTCGGCATCAGTGGCAGTCCTGGTGTGGGCTCTAAGTGGCTCGGGATGCCCCTCATGGACGAGCCTGTTCGGGTAGGCCATTAGTCACGACTTAGCTCCACGATTTTGGTCAGGCCTCTAACGTTAGAGGGAGTATAAGTTTCGCGAAGTCCGATAACCCGAATTCGAGGAGTACTCAAGTGAGGTAGAAGCGATGTCCATCTGGACTGAAAATGATGTTCAGGTTTTTATCAACACTGGAGATAATACAGCTTTAGACAGGCAAAACTTTGCGCCTATTGGAACCGTCATTCAGGGCATGTAGGTTACCCACGGTATTTCCCACAATAGTTTTCCGGGTAGGGACATCGTCGATCGGTTCAATCGACATCGTCCTGGTTCCGGGAAGCCGGCGCAGGTGGAGTGTAGGCCGTGTTGTTGGTAGGAGACTTGCCTTTGCATCAGGAGCGCATTATGAGAGAGGGCAACGCCTATCTTGATGCTGAGTATCCTGAGCTGAGCAGACTAGAGCGGTGCTGGCTGTTGGAGCCACCGAACATGCTACCAGGATGGGCTTGGGAAAATCCGTAGCCTTTTTTTGTTACTCTAGGTTGACATTGTCATCATGTCAGACGTGTCGTGCGGCATCGTGATGGAGAGGCGGCTCGATGAAGTTCTCCCTATAATTACATGCCGATGTTCCTCCTGTATTGTTGTGTTATCAGTTGGGTAAAACGACATAATAAAACCAGTTGAATTAAACAAAATTGTTCCAACAAAATGGCACATAGGACAAGTCACAAGCGCGGACGTATAGAAAACACAACGCGATCGCCCTTTTTAAAATTTTGATCTAAGAATGTTCCACTCAAATGAAGTGCACTCGACAGAATGATCATGAATGGTCTCGTTCTGGCGTCGAACCAGAACTCTCCGCAGATGAGTGTGACCTAGAATTAATAGATTGACAGGGTCGAAGTGGTACCAGAGGATATCCGCCCTACTCCTCTAAACGCCCCACTAGTGTCGGCTGTCTCTCGCTAGATGGCAGTTCATCCGAATGCAGAGCCGCATGGGGATCTTCAAGCGAATCTGTCTTCTCTTCTCCTTCGTCGCCACCGACATTCCTTCTTACTCGCTCGAGTAGCGACTCTACCGCGTCAAGAAGGTCTTCGTGATCGATAACATGTTCACTTTTCTCCGACTGGAATATGTAATGGGTCCTGAGAACCAAGCGAAATAGATCAACATCGAGTTTGAATTCGGCCTCCTCGGGAAAATTTTGTGCCGCTCAATTCACACACAAAGAAGTGCCATGAAGAGACCAGACGGCTGAATCCGGTAATGCAAGGTCCTGGGGATGAGGACTGCTAAGTTCAGTAACCGAAGAAAACGACTTCTTTGCCCGCACTCACTCCGCACTGGTACTTCCTTCATCAAGATCTTGGTTGTTCAAGTCCTCAGCACTCTCTCCAGTGCTGCCGGTAGCGAGCTCAAGAGCGGATTGCACGGCAGCTGAGAGCGTGTTGCTGTCGAGCTCGCGACCATTCAGATCTACACTGATGACGGTCGCCTTTGCCCTGAAGTGCAACCATGTTTGCCTGCTCTCTCCAAGTCATCGGAGATTAGAGCTGTTCAATCTCGTGAATACGCAGCGGTAAAAGCAACGTAACGAATGCGATGTGATAGTCACTCAACAAGCCGAGCCCGTTCAGCACGGGAATTCTTGATGGTGACTGACAGTCACTGACTGTCACCATCAAGAATTCCCGACTACTTGGGCTTCTTGATCGCCTTTTGATGGAATCTATTGTGCATCATATCCAGTACTTCCTTCATATCTTTCCTCACAGCTAACTCCTCAGAATCGAGCTCGCTATCGTCAACAACAGAGCGATTGCTTCCACTCAATGCTGCCCAGCGGAGGTACTCTACGATTGCCGTGTCCTGTGTGGTAGTCGCGAGAGCTGCCTCAATGATCGAATCCTCGTTGCTAGCGTGAGTCTTACCCCATATTGACATAACAACTCGGCCGACGTGTTGAGAGAGCTTGAAGAAGCCAGGGGTAGGGCGAGCCATAGTTACGATTTCCGAGTACAGATCATTGGTGTAGACCCCTCGTGTGAGATCTACCTCTCTCGCTGAAGGTGCTCGCTTCCATCTCAAACCGTGATCGGCGATGTAGTTAATGTCGACAAAGTCGGCGGAGTCAGCTATAATACCTAGCCAAGCACGTCGGTATTTGCTCCTGCTTCTCGGCTCAAGAACAAGGCTCCGATGCCCACTGGCCCAGGGATTGTTGATGCTGATACGCCCTTCGATGGTGAACAGTGTCACCGGAGATACGCTGATTATTCGAATCTCATCAACAGCAGTCGCATCAGCTGGCACGTCAAGCTGCGACCGAGTCATCCCAACCAACAGCGACTGGGCTATCATGTCGATACGGCTCTGTAATGGACTGAGCCTAGCATGCCCTTCCCACAGAACTCGACCAACACTTAACCCTTGCACGACAACAGGGCTCGAGCTCTCGAGTACTAGTTCCGTGATTGTCACATTCTTGGTGGTGAAGGTTATAAGCCCAGCTGCATCGGAAGGGATGAGAACCGGTCGTGTCCCTTCCTCGATGCTCCATTTATCGCTGTAGTGGATACCAACTTCACCAGGCATGTGTGTGAACGTAGATGTTTGCAAGCTCAGTACAAAATGAACAGCTTCAGCATTCCTGTAGACAGTCTCAGTGTGGTTTAAATGACGAAGTAGACGATTGACGCTAGAACGAAGCTCATCTGGGTCGTCGGAGCTGTCGAGCAAAGTCTGCGGGAGGAGCTCTCCGAAGCCGACATCAACGTATGAGCTTTCGAAGAAGGAACAGGTTGGCCCGTGTAGTGAAGAATCACAAACGCCTAGTGATGGACTCTCTGTCTGAGCTGGCCACTGGAGGTCTGATCGCCGGACGAGGATGCGCCTCCGGAGATTGCTCACTAGTTGGTCTACTGGTGGGGGGAACAATGAAAGGGATACACCTTGCGACACTCGCAAGGCTAAAACGATGTACCGGAGGTAGAAGCAACACATTGAAAGCACTGCAAAGAATGACGACGATAATCGACGATTCAACACAGCAGACGGAGACTAGCCAGGAAAATTGACTTGATCATGTGTATCAAAGAGGATGTTGCATAACTACATCAAGCGCAATCCATAGTGCATAGGATCGAAGTTCTCTAGTTTCCCACCAAATTGATGGGAAAGGGCCATAGGCGGATTGAATCATGTCAAGCATCGTCAACTATTATTACGATCCTCCGGATCTTTTCCTGTCTAACTCGACGCTGTGCATGCGTGCATTACATGCCGACCAAATGGAACGATCGCACAGCTAGCATGTTTTCCCGAACGGACTCCCATCACTGGCCTCGACAACACACATCTTCTCCCGAATCACACGCAACACTATGTTAAGTTGAGATAATGCAACACTGTCATCACGCTGCACTGGTCTTATCGGGATCAGCGAGATCGTGTGGCTCGCTCCGCCTAGCAAGATGATAAGCGAGAGTACAGCAACGGTGACGATCAAAAGACTCGTCAGTCGAACACAGCATAGCTCGGCACTTACATTCTCTGCACGAGGCTGAATGCCACTTGACTCTGTGGCGAGGGAATCCTCGGAGACGCGGCTTCTAGCAGTGTTGGAAGCGGCTGACTTTACACCAGCACTGTTCTTCCGCTCGCTGCCTAGCTCAGCCCGGATCTGCTGTACTTTACCACCAGCCACGCAGCAGTAAAATCCTAGACGAATATACAATGGGCCCGTATAGATGGTTGATGCCATCAGGCTGATGGCTTGCTGGTCGACTCCCGCAACGGGAAGGTGTCTTTTAGAGATTACGAACAGTGTCTGATTATCGCTAAGTTGCTGGGGGAGGGGGCTCACCATCATTTCACCGTCATCAGCGCTTCGTGCGGGTTTTTCCTTTTGAGAGTTTGTCACTCGGATGAGCTCCGTCCTCCCGAGCTCCTCTTGACGACATGGCTCGCCCTGTGCTGTCCTCCACACACATGTCACGTGAAAGCCGTGGTATTAACAAAGGCCGGCTGGTGGTTGAGAACTCACCACCACTGTGAAAGTCATTCTCTCGGAAGTGAGGGAATGACTCATCTCATGACTCTCTCATCTAGGTCGCCGGTGTTGGTGATAGCGAGTGCAACTTGACAGCTACGTAAGAGTACGATAGCGACTTGTGTAACAATGATTCCAACATCGCTGTTCCGTAACTGGTGTAACACAAGGGGATCTTATAGGTTAGGGACGTACAGTGTAGACTGTCAGAACCAATCGTATCGATCGTAAGGCGAAGGCAGGACTGTGTTTACGTGTGCAGTGTTCTCACGTACAGCGCACAGACGAAGAAGTATGTATACACAGAATTGTCTACTGTACTCGGATGAGAGATGCTGACTAACATGGTCCTGTTGACGAGATCAGGACAATCGCTATCCTCTCGGCGTTTCTTTAAGATTTCTCTGTCTGAGATAACAGCACTATTGCAGTGATGGAGATCTCAGTAGAATGGATCACCTCGTGCTTTGCCCTTCGCTTATCCAGGTCTTGCTGAGAGTGATGCTGAGAAGCCGAACGCTCCATTATAACGTCCCTCTCTCTCCTGTTTTTCTCCTCATCCGCCCTTATCTGATAGAGCCACGCGAGACTTGTCATTGGATCAACCTCGTAAGAGAGGTTAATGTTGTACATGAGTTAGTTCACTCTCGAGGGCCTTCTTGACCTTTTTATCGTGAGTAACACGCTGAGCAGCCCACCGCTGCCTTGAGCTCACGTTCGAGGTGAGAAACCCTGCCAGGCAAGCACGGCGAATTACCATGTCCTTTTACGCGACGAAAGTTTCGTCACGAAACAATAGCCACAGCATGTGGCTATTGTTGAGGCTACGAAGGCCTGTGGCCCACAGGCTTTCGTAGCCTCAACCTTCGGTAACATACTCCCGATCAACATCATCGCTGCTGCTCCCACTCTCCGCTGAGTCCCGCGCGCGTTCAGCCTAGTGAGCGCCCAATACGTCAATGGGTTCACCATGCTGGTATAGTTGAACCTCTCTGCGGGCTTCCGATAAATCTTCTTCTAATTTATCCTTCCGTCGGAGAGCGGCTTTGAGTTGTCGGCAAAGGTCGCCCAGAAGCTCAGCATTCTCATCCGGCGGATCCTTCAACTGTTCAACTTGAAAGCCTTTTAACACTGTTGCTTACTCAGTGGTGGTCTGTGGGCAGCCGCCACCTCAGCAGATGGTTCGCGTGACTTCCGCCTTCCGAGACCAGGTCTCCTGAGGTCCTTAGTTTCCAACGAGGCCAGTCTCTTGAGGATTGCCTCAGCCAAACCTTGAAGCATCCTCTCCCGACGAAGCGCCCTCCAGCTGGCTTTTCGATAGGTTTCAAATTTATCGGTTGACTTTACCCGTACAGCCAATCGTTGCTGGTCCACATCGTATGAGTTGGGCCCTTCCCAGTCTCAGTGATATTGATGAGTAAGTCAATGCCCGACAAAGCCGAGGGATCATCAATGTCCGCAACGCACAATGTCATGACGATAATCTAGTACTAGACGACGTCTAGTAGACGTTCTCATAAGATGAGGAGTTTTCTGACCTTCGCCCGACCCTTTCTGATGTCAGTTTCGAGTTCTCGTATGCATTGAGGATGGACGTTGAAGAAGTCCGACAGCGCCGACGGAATGTTATCTCGTGCTCCGGTGATATCGAGAGGTTCATCTGGTGCTGTCGCTGTCTGCATCAATGAATAGTTGCCGATACTGTGATACACGGCGAACGATACCCAGGCTTCCACTAGCCAGTAGTCTCGCGAGAACGAACTGGTCAGGCCGAAGTTCTGGAGGCCTCTTTGAAATTCTGGGCCTTCTGGCTCGTAATGCCCATAGAAGTGAGTTCTCGTTTTATTCGGCGGGCGTGGTGGCGGCGGTATCTGTCACGCGTTCTTGACCTACACAATAAGTACGGAATCCAATATGATGATCGTGGGGCCCACAAAGAGCGAGGCGAGCTCAGCCCAAAGCCTGGCGCGCCATCGATTGGCACATTGGATCGCTCTCTGGATAGTATACAGTTGACACAGGAACTGTTATCACGCGCGATGCGAACTCGCGCATCGATGGGCTATATCAAAGTTCCAATACTTTCCCTACCATCAGGTTGGCAAGTGGGCAATATATGGCAATTTGCATTGACCTCATACTCAGTCGCTTCAACCTAAACATGCCTTTCTCTTGTCCCCTCGGTGCCACGGAAGGTCTATGTTCTCAGATGTGTACGTATATCAGAAGTTGTATCAGAAGACCCACTAGGCCCCTGTATAATACTAGGTCTTCGGTGCGAAGGGGCGGAGCTCGCTGAGCTTCTTATCAAGAATTCAGCGAGCTGGGCCCGCCGGGCTCTTATTGAAATTATTTTGTAAATTGGGTGACTAAAAACAAAAGGTTGTCAGGGGTTGACTG